CCTTAAAAGAAGAAGCTAGATTTTGTAAGGAATTTAGCTACTGGTCACGACCATACGGTTTCGATGATTAACGAGGTTCACCAAAAGTATCACCTACTTCCCGTCCTAATTGTTGACTATGAAAAGGGGTTAAACGGCATCGAGGCTAACACTATACTATTAGCGCACATCCTCTAAAAGGTGGACCTGTCTTACATGAGGACAGCCGACTGCTACAACAGCTGCTCTAAAACGGCATAGCTTTTTATCGCCCTCTTAGCATACTTTTGAAGGGGGTTTGACAAGGCAACACCGTATCACCAGACTGCCTACCGCGTTTGGAGCGAGTGAAGAAATTCCGGACTGGAACGAGGAAGGCGTACGAGTTGGCGGGAGATTCCTCTCAAATCTTGCTTGGGAGCGACATTCATGAACAACGCCCTATGCAGTATCATTGAATAATCTTATACTTACTTTGAGGTTCGGTGAACATGGAGAACGATCTGAAAGAAAAACTGAGCAGGAGGCGAAAAGCAGTTGGTCGTTTTAGGGTCAAAGGAGGTTCGAATCAATTGTTCTCTCAGTGCTGCTACGCAACGAAGATTTTGCCGGATACTGTGGTTACATCAAAGACTCTACGAACAACCCGTAAAGCGCTAGAATCACTCTTCTGAAGTTCACCGACGCAATAGACATCTTGTCGGACGAGGCGGCAGCAGATTTGCAGAGAGCAGAAAGCCATTTTTGGGAACAATATCAAGGCTAAATCGCACGAGGCCCAAGATTCTGAGAAATCATATTTTCGTTTTCCATTTCGAAGAAAACCTTTCTGGCACTCACTTTACAACCGTCTCGATGATTATCTACCAAATAATTAACATGTCCACAAACCTGCTTCCAAGCTTAAGAGCGCATCTGCGCGGAAAACTCAGATTTCAGGCGCTCGTTCATTTTCATTCATTTGGACCCCTCTTATTAAACGAATAGTCGACGAAAGCCCATAAATTTGGGAAGAATATGCAGCAAGGAGCTTGGGGATGGTGCGCAAAATCAAGTTTTAATTCGAATAATAAAACCCCATAATTTAGTGTGATTTAATTCTTTGGCGAGATCCATGGGAGACTTAAGTCCTCGATTAGCAAACCTTTTCCTCAT